CACCACCACCACCACCTCCCCCCACCACCCTGAATCTCCCTAAAAGGCAGGCACTCAAGGAGAGGGTTATCTAGAACTCTCCGATTTAAACAACAGAAACCAACCCCAATCTGATTTAAGTATTAAACAATAATAAGAAGGTACTGTTCACTAGATAGCATGAAGAAGTGATGTAATGGCACCATTTTCCTTTCCCCAGCTGTTCTCTGTCCCAGGAGCTCAGGGCATTTTTATCTCAAGTTGTGATTGGTCACAGATGTCATCTTTTGTCATATTTGGGCCTCTTTTATACTCACCCTCATCTGTAGTTACTTAGTTCAAGTAAGAAGTCATTAGGGTAGGTGCCAAAGTATCATCCAAAAAACAGTTGCAGTGTAGAAAAGGACTCAATAAAGGAATTAAACAATTAACTCAGACATTATTTTTATTTGATACATATTTTGAGGTGAAAAGTTGCCAAGCAAATTCCTTAGATGTGTTAAAAGTGTTACAGCATCTAGCCATTGGAAATGATTTTCTGCAAAATGTGATCTTATAACCTTTCCTTGAAGAAATTTGTTCTTTAACAACTTGAGCCATCTTTTAAAAGAGGAAGCAGGTGTCCCTACCTGTTGTTGCACGTTGCCCAGAAGTTGATTCTGTAAGTCTAGCTTCAACTTGAGTTGGATGATCGATGTCACAGCCCATTTACTGGCTCATCTCAGCAGCCGAGTCCCTTGTCTGTGCAGAGCACAGAGACTTCACTATTCCGCATCCTTGGAAAGCCTACGCTCAAACACCTGCAGGAAATACTGCATTCTCATTTATGCTTTTAATGTGCGCACATAACGTGTAGCTTATATGCACTCAACCTTTGTAAAAGAAATAAATTTTTAAGATGATAAAAACCTCTCAACCCACTGAGGCTTTTTCAGGATGATAAGTATTTAGTTGTATCTTTATTTGAAATGACCCATTCACCCTCTCAGAGCAGATAGTATAGAACTCAAATGTAAGGGAAAAAAGCAAAACCCATACTCATACCACCTGACTTGTAGCGACCCTACGGCTCTTCCTGTGATTTTCAAGACTGTTACTCTTTACGGGAGAAGAAAGCCTTATCTTTCTCCCACAAATGGAAGGGAAACACCCACGAATTACTCCTTTACATGCCAGATATGCAGTACTCTTGTTTTAATCTTTTTTATTTTTAGTACAAAATATGTGAGCGTTAATTGTATATTTCATTCTTAGCTAATTTCTTAATCCTTGTTAATTGTCACAAGTTTGAAGAATATTTAGGCAAACTGTTTTTAATGAAGAAAAGCATTCTTTGGTTAACTCAAAGGATATCTCAAAGCATTGCTGTTGGCACATGGCGTTTTTGCACACGAGTAAAGGATTATTTGTGCTTTGGTTATAAATTATTCCATTTTATTTAATTTGGACACTTTGTGGAAGGAAAGCTCCTTCATCAGGTGAACATAAAACAACTGTATAACCTTTGATTCATAAGAATTCATGGAGGGAAAGTGAGGTACATAAAAAATTATTTGCTAACTGACCACACTACATTATTGTTATTGTCTTGAATTATATGTATCTGCTTGCCGAAATCCATTTCTTTTTTTGCTCCTTTCATTTAAAATATCATCTCAAATGCTGTGACTAAGTTAAATTAAATGGAAACAGATCTTCAGTTAACAGATCAAATGTATAAGCAATATACATAGTGTATATATATACACACACACAAATATATATTCTGGAAATAGGTGATAGCACTTCATTACCCATTAAATCTTTATTAAATATTTAGCCTTCACTAGAGAGTTAGGTTTAAAATCAGGAAGGTGTGTATCAGCGTGATATCTACTCACCATAGTGTTTAAATCTATATGCTGAGCAAATAACTTGAGAACCTGGACTGTGTGACAGAGAATGTGGCATCAGGGTTGGAGGAAAGCTTAGTTACTGCCTGAAAGATGCAGATGACACAACCTTGCTTGCTGAACGTGAGGAAGATTTGAAGCACTTGGTGGTGAAGATCAAGGATTGTACAGATTATAACTAAATGTAAAGAAAACTGGACCAATACATAAAATTGCTCTAGCCTCACCCTGAAGCCATTCAGCCTAAACTCCTTGGGTCAGCAAACCCAACTTCCCGAATTAAGTGCCCAGAGGCAGACCACTCAGTCAGCCAGCCTCCTGCACAAAAGCACTCCGTTCTACTTGCTCTGTGGGTTGGAAAGTCCACTCTGTTTCACGCTTTGGCTCCTGGTTCTGCTGCTGCTCCTCTGATGGATCCAGAATGTTCACTGCACAAGGTTCAGAGTAAGTTCCCCACTCCTGGCTCTTGCTAGTAATGAGATACCTCCCCCACTCCCCTTCTTAGAGGGCTTGTTTTATACACAAAACAATGACACGCCAGGGAATTCCATTTGCAATTACAAAGGGATTCTTTCAGTATCTTCCCCCACCTTTCTGTCAGAGCCATGTGGGGAGAGGTGTTTGGTGGGAGTTAGAGACTTTGGCTAGAGGAGCTACCTTAAATAATTCAGTGCCCCTGTAACATTGCATAAGGAAAACCTGTTGCACAAGACCTCTTGAAAGGTTGAAAAGCAATGGCTTTGAGGACATGCACTGAGTAAGATGTGCCTTACTCTACTCGGTATTTTCAGTTGCCTCATATGTATGTTTTGGTGGACATGGAAGAAGGAGGATCAGAGAAGAATCAGTGCGTTTGACTGATGGGGCTGGTGAAGACTATTGAGAGCACCATGGATGGCCAAAAGAACAAACAAATCTGTCGTTGAAGAAGTACGCACAGAATGCTCCTTAGAAATAACCGTTGAGAGGTTTCCTCTCACTTGTTTTGGACATGTTATCAGGAGAAATCAGTCCCTGGAGAAGGGCATCATGCTTGGTAAAGCAGCTGGGAATTAGAAGGGAGGAAGATCTTCCATGAGTTGCTGCAACCAACAATTGTAAGGGGGTGCAGGACCAGACAGTGTTCCATTGTCCTTGTTAAGGGGTCGCTATGAGTTGGGACCAACTTTACAGCACAATAACTGCTAAGAGCAGTCATTTCACTGGTATTTGAATCAGATAATCTATTTCGTCCTTAGTTTTCTCATCTTCCTAGAACTGTCTTGACCTGAGAGAATTTGTAGCAGTCAATATTGGCCCAATTGGAATTCATTTATTCACTTTGAACTTCTAGTAAGGCTCCTAGCCCAAACTCTAAAGAGATAATCCACATCAGAAATCCGAAGCCAGTGCTTCCAAGGTGATTCCAATTCATTGTTACCATTTGGGCAGAATTATGCTTCTCCATAAAGGTTGCTAAAACTAGAAAGCTTTACAAGAATAGATGCTTCTATCACAGAGGTTTCTTTCATGCAGTTAGGAGTCTAATGCTTAATCTACTGCGCCAGCAGAGCACCTTATTGATATTCAGTAGGTTTTATAAATCTAATTTTGCCATTAAAAGGAAGATAGGTTAAATTTCCCTTCCTAGACGATTGCATTTGATCCTCTCTAGAAATGTAATGATTTCTAAAATAGCATGGATTGAATTTAGAGATTGCTTGGAGCAATGCTTAGGGGTTCATAAAGAAATAATCTAATTTTTATTTGCAGTATATTAAATTCCTTTTTGGTATATTTCCTAATGTGCAGTTGGCCCTGGAACAACACAGGGGTTAGGGGAGCCAACTTCCATGCCATCAAAAATGCACACGTAGCTTTTGACTCCCAGAAAATTTATCTACTAATAGCCTAGTGTTGAGTGGAAACCATAGCGCTAAAATAGACAGTTGATGAATGCACACATTGAATTGTTTTACATAGATAGATAGATAGATAGATAGATAGATAGATAGATAGATAGATAGATAGATAGTACTACTCTCACAGAAAAGCAAGATAGAATGGTATTTTGTAAAAAGAGCAAGGGTTTGGTGCCTGCTGGCCTAGCTGCAAGGAAGGCTTCACACATTTTCTGTTCTGTACAGTGATCCTGTGCTGGCAAGATGATTCTGACTCATAGTGCTCCTGTATGGTCTGTGAGACTGTGGCTCTTTACAGGTGCTGATAGTTTAATCTTTCTCTCAGGGTGGCTTAGAGCCCTCAACCTTAGGTTAGGAGTCCAGTGTTTATTCCATAGACCCACCAGAGCTCCTCATGGTCCTTTTGCTGGGTTCATTTATCTTGGAAAGGTGGGCAACCATAGCTGCAGACCCCAATCAACATATCAAGCCATTTACTTTTTTATGTCAGTACTTTTCTCTGTTTCTTGGGAACACGGCATTTCCGTTGAGTCTCGTGGTGTTATTCAAGAAGACACACAAGAATCACTGTGATATATCATTTACTTGACACACAAACTGGCCCCACAGAGATAGATCATCAGGGTCACAGGGAATTTGTAAAAAATCCATGTATAAGAGCACATGCACAGTTCAAATCTTTGTTACCCCAGGGTCAACTGTCTGTGATATATAGTAATACACAGTATAATGGTAAATGTATAGAATTTATAAGTATATATGCATATAATACATACTCAAGCGCATTCATTTATGCAATTTAAAGAAACAGCACAGATACCCGTGAGTACGAAGCCCCAACTGTCAGTATGACTAGTTTGCATTTCCAACCCACATCACAGTGGGTACCAGCAGTTTTACCACGTTTTTAAGGATATGAAATCTGTTGCATAAATGAACACCTATTTCTGGCATGTGATAAAGTAGCTTGATAAGATGTAAACTATAATTACTCATTAGTTAAATTATACAGACATAAAATTGTGAACAGCACAATTTACCGAACCTTTTGTAAACAAAACATGTATAAAGTGAATAATATATTATTGATTAATCACCATTGTAAGTATTTCTAATATAAAGATGTGCTAAAACAATTTACAGTTAATATTCCTCAAGCAGGTTTTCTTATAGATGTTGAGAAAGATTTATTTGCAATTGTTTTAAATGGTTCAATTTCAGACTTGCACTCTGCTATAATGAAGCTACACTTACATATTATGATAGAATTATGGACCTTGGTAAACCTTATTGCTCATTATAATATTTGTAATTTGGTGGTAATTTTCAAGAACTTCCCTTGCTCCTGAGAGATTTTGCATGAATAAAAATCAGTGTAAAACTTAAAGATTTAAACAAGCTCATGCATTTCTTTCATTTTTTCCCCTAGTGATAAAAACAAGAGAAGAACTAAAACAGTAAAGAAAGCACTGGAGCCCAAATGGAACCAAACCTTCATTTATTCTCCTGTCCACCGAAGGGAGTTTCGAGAACGAATGCTAGAGATTACCCTCTGGGATCAGGCTCGAGTTCGAGAGGAAGAAAGTGAATTTTTAGGAGAGGTACCTGGAATTATTTTAAAACTTAGGTTATCCATGCCATCCCCAATAGTTTTGTTTATATGCCTTGTAGTAGAATTCTATATATTGAATATTAAAAACTGAGCATATTTGTTTTTATGGAAAGAGTTTAGTTGCTGCTTTAAAGAAAAACTTAATGCCATGTAGACATACTTTGAGGGTTTATTCCGATTAGAGACTGTAGACCTCAGAGCTGAATGATTAAAATATGAGTTTGAATTTCACAAATACATTGCTCTGTTTGTACTGTTGTGTACCTTTGGTTGGTTTTCTGGATCAAGACAACCAAACCAAATCCACTGCAACAGAGTTGATTCCCACTTACAGCCACCCTATGAGACAGCGTAGAATTGCCCCATTGGGTCTCCAAAGCCGTACATCTTTTCCGGAGCTGGCTGACGCGCCTTTGTCCATGAAGCGACCTTTTGGTTAGCAGGCAGGTGCTTAACCACTATGCCATCAGGCCTCTTTACTGAACCAAAACTGTTCTCATAATAGCCTCATCATTTATTCATGGTTTGTTCTTTTTAAATTTACTATACTTATTGTTGTTCTTGAGAATATACACTGCAGAACATGCTTCAACGTTTTTACATAGAAAACTCAGTGACATTGCTTACATTCTCCAAATTGTGCAACAATTCCCATCCTCTGTTCCTAGTTTTTCTCCCCCATTGACATAAACTACTGCTTTTACATTTCTTATATCATCTTTCCAAAGTTGCTATTGTCAATTTGATTCCATATACAGTGGATTTAAAAGAACAGAATGCTGAAGGCAGATATTATCTATTAAACTAAAGTTTTGTTTGGTTGTAAGAAGACTTTAGGGGACATTTTTGTTTTAAACTTTAAAGATTATCTCTGGGTAATAGTTTGGTGGGTGGGTGTGTTGGGGGGGGGTGCCTCAATGGCCACAGGAAGTCTGGCTTCTGTGAAAATTTTGGATTCTGTTCTGAACTTCCCTCTTTTGATCAGATTTTTTCTATAGAAACCTATGAACAAAATGTTTAGTAATGGTAGCAGGGCACCTTCCAGTTTATTCCAAGATTACCTTTTAATTTTTTTCAACTGATGAGCACTGTGCTAGGGACCAAGGCGTCAAGGATTAATGAGGTATCTAACTTTCTTCTAGGGATTTAGTTAAGTACGTGGTTGTAAGATAGCATGACAATATAAGAATAATCAGGGGAAATGCGTACTCTTTATGCAGGAGGTGTGATCCAAGTAAAGCCTAGACATCGTTGTAGCATTTAGTCAAGTCAAGGAGAATGAAATTCCTGCAAAGAGAACAACAATCGATCTATGGAGCAGTGCTTTTGGGAAATGGAATTAAACTTAGGAGTGTAAGTGAGAAGAAATGAGATGAGGGTTCAACTAGGTCCAGATCCTATCTTTTAACATCTCATATTAAGAATTTTGGATTTTGTCCCATGAGTAATGGAAAACAGAGATGTATTTTAAAATGAAAGCTGCTTCTATGCATCTGTACTTGATAAAGCTATTTCCAGCTGTGATGTGAAGAATGAATTGGAGAGAAGCAACACAGGGGACTATTCTTCAGCTCCCAGCGCTGTTCAGTGTGTTTGGCGTTCCTGAATAAATCAAATAGTAATCTCAAAGGAAAACTATGAAGCCATAAAAATGTTGAACTGGATGTTTAAGGATTTCAAGAGTGAGAAACCTTTAGAAACCTTTTATCATTAGGGAAGAAGATTAATATAGTTGTTAGGGACAGGGACCCTGGAACCAATTGTATTGTTCTGTATTCCTGACACTACCACTTTTCAATCGGGTGCCCTTGATCGAGTTATATAACCTGTCTATGCTTCAGCTTCCTCTCCAGCCAAGTGGGCATGAGAATAGTGTAGAATGCAAAATTGCAAATTAAGTGGCTCCTAGAGCCCCTGTTTGCAACAGAGGAGACACTTCCTAGTCCGGTGTCATCCTCGCAGTCTCTCCGGAGGATATGTCCAATGTACAGGAGATGGAGTCTCACCAGTCTCTTCTAAGGAGAACTCGGGCTATACTTTCTCCAAGACAGATGTGATGCCATTCCTTTGGGCTTTGTCATCTCCAGCATAATACCCATGTCACTCAAGATGTCCACTACCAGCCCATTGCACAGCCCTAAGGGCCAGGCTAATGGTCTTTAGGCATTCCATTTTGTTTTTGAAGATTCTCAATTTTCTTATATTCACACTTCATGTTTTCCACATTCAATCAGTAATGGATGCTTGCAGCTGTTTCTCAAGTTGATTTGGGCCCCGTGAAGGTCTTTGCTAATCTTACTTCTAAGGAGCACTCTGGTGCTAATTCTTCCAAGAAAGAGTTGTTTGCCTTTTGGCAGCCCACGGTGTAGTCACTATTCTTATCCAATACCACATTTCAAGATCATCAGTTCTTCTTTGATCTTTGTTCAGTTTTGTCCAAATTTGTATACATATACAATTTAAAATACTCTGCCCTGAGTCAGGCGCACTTGGTCCTTAACATTATTTTTTTGCTTTCTAAGTTTAAAGCAGACTTTTGTAGCAGTTTTGTTCAAAGGTACATGCCATTGTTTCTTTTTGTTGTTGTTGTTTTTCTAAATCATTTTATTGGGGGCTCATTGTGTCAAGCACATTTGTATATTTGTTGCCATCATCATTCTCAAAACATTTTCTTTCTACTTAAGCCCTTGGTATCAGCTCCACATTGCCCCCCCCCTTTCCTCATGAACCCTTGATAATTTATTAATTCTTATTATTTTTTCATGTCTTACACTGTCCAATGCCTCTCTTCACTCACTTTTCTGTTGTCCGTCCCCCGGGGAGGGGATTATATGTAGATCATTGTGATCGGTTCCCCTTCCTCCACCTTCCCCTTTCCCTCCTGGTATCTCCACTCTCATTATTGGTCCTGAAGGGTTTATCAGTCCTAGATTCCCTGTGTTTCCAGCTCTGATTTGTACTAGTGTACATGCTCTAGTCTAGCCTGATTTGGAAGCTAGAATTGGGATCATGATAGTGGGAGGGGGAGGTGGAGATCACATTAAAGAACTAGAGGAAAGTTATATGTTTCATTGTTGCTACACTTTGCCCTGACTGGCTCGTCTCCTCCCCGCGATCCTTCTGTAAAGTGGATGTCCAGTTGCCTGCAGATGGACTTTGGGTCTCCACTCCGCACTCCCCCTCATTCACAATGATATGATTTTTTTGTTCTTTGATGTCTTATACTGATCCCTGTGACACCTAGTGATCACACAGGCTGGTGTGCTTCTTCTGTGCGGGCTTTGTTACTTCTGAGCTAGATGGCCACTTGTTTATCTTTAAGCCCTTAAGACCCCAGATGCTATATCTTTTGATAACCGGGCACCATCAGCTTTCTTCACCACATTTGCTTATGCACCCGCTTTGTCTTCAGCAATCCTGTCAAGAAGGTGAGCATCATGGAATGCCAGTTTAATAGAACAAAGTATTCTTGCATTGAGGGAGTACTTGAGTAGAGGCCCAGTATCCATCTGCTACCTTAATACTAAACCTACACATATATGCACATAGATTTCTGATTGATCTGTCCATAGGTGTAGATTGTCGATGCAGGGCTTTAGCAATGACAGTATTTTCTGGGTTAGTCATGGTAATGTTTATTGGTCCAGTTGTGAGAATTTTGCTTTCTTTATGTTGAGGTGATATCCATACCTCACCAGAGCTACAGTCTCTGGTCTTCCTCAGTAAGTGCTTCAAGTCCTCTTCTCTGCATGTTGTAGGCTGTTAATTATTGATGCCATGTTCTTCATCTTGTTCAGGGATGGTCATTAGTGTTCAGCATCAAATTTATTCTCTAGATGGTCTCTGGATTCTGGTGTCATGTACTCCATTCATACTTTGACTCTCATGAACTGGTTTTGATGTAATATGGTACATCATATGACCTAGCAGTTCCACTCTAGTATATACTTAAGAGAACTGAAAGCAAGAACACAGATTCTTGGATGCCAGTTTTTCTTTTAAGAGCTACAGATAAGGGGTAACCACTGAAATGGTAGCTATTATTACAGATTTTTAAAAGTTTAAAAATTATAGATTTAAACAAAATTTAGTTTGTTATGTCAGTAATGATACATTATGGTTGTAATGGTAAATGGGTAATGACAATTGGTGGCATAGTTGGTTATGCATTGGCTGCTAGCCACATAGTCAACAGTTAGAATTCACCAGCTCTTCTGGAGAAACATGAGGCTGTGTGCTCCCTTGAAGACTGACAGACTCGCTTGGAAACCCAGGGGAGCAGTTCTTCTTGACACATAGCATCAATATGAGTTGGAAGGGACTGGGTAGCAGGTTTTTTTTCGGGGGGTAGTGGTATTTTGTTAATCATTGGGTATTCAAGGATCTATAAAATAATCATCTTAGATATTTAAAACAATATAATCAGTAAAAAACTGTAAAGATTTGTTTCGTTTATTAAATAAACATATTGACAATTTTGCAACATCAAAATGCCTTTAATTCTGATGGAACATCACTACTGTTATATTATCATTATTACGAACGTTTTATGACCATGTAAGAGAATGTCTGTATTATTACTCCTAACAGTCTTCTGTTAACCTCTTGGGTTTTAGATTTTAATTGAATTAGAAACAGCATTATTAGATGATGAGCCGCATTGGTACAAACTTCAGACCCATGATGTCTCTTCGTTGCCACTCCCCCACCCTTCTCCGTATATGCCACGACGACAACTTCATGGGGAGAGCCCCACCCGAAGGCTGCAGCGTAAGTATCCAAATATTGACTCGTATCTGTAGTGACCTTTCTAATCCTGAAAGATAAATGTGACGCAGAATTATAGGAAGCTATTAAGGGTATTAACAATGATCTTCAGAGCTCTCATTGAAGCTTTTCAGTTGTTTAGCACACTAAAATGGTGGGATACCGGCATTATAGACCTGGCATTATACATTATATTCTCTTTTATATGCCTCGAAATAAATTTTATTAAAATTATAGCTAATTTATTTCCACTTCTATATGATATTCATTTCAGTACATAATATAAATATTTATATATTCTTATATTGATTAATCGTTATTTTGCCTCCACTTTTTGACTATTACTAAGAGTGCTGCTATGAACATTCTTGTCGCACTTTCTGATAATCTTAGGTCTTTGTTGTTGCTAGGACTATCATTTGGAGTAGAATGGATAGATGCAGAACATGTTGCTTAATAGTTTTCAAAAATTGTGCCAATTTATACTTTTTACAGCAGTGAATAAGGATTTCATTACCCCCATAACACTGAGTTTAAGTGAAGGCTTCAAGAGTTTATGAAAAATCTTCATTAGTTTTCATTTCATTTTTCCATAGATGTTTCAAAGCCCCCAATACTTGTTATTTTCAGTGGTTTTTTTAGTAGCTGTGCAGGTGGTGTTCAGGTGGTGTTCACTGTATATCTGTGGCTTTGAGTTGCATTTCTATAATAACCTTTTCATTGGGAAATTAGGTAATTGTATGTTGTCTTTTATAAAGGACCTGATCAAAATTTTTGTTCATTCTTCTTTTTTGTTATCTGTCTTTTATAATTGATTCATAAGAATTTTATTAAACCCTTGATTTGTGTTATTTTGGGGACATATGTATTCTAATCTTTGGCATGACTTGTCACTCTTTAATGGAGTCTTGATCAAGAAAAGATTTTATTGTTAATGTATTTTCATTTTAAATTTAGGGTTATCAGTTTTTAATATTCTGTGTTCCTATGTTTTTTCCTGGAATATTATTTCACCCATCTTATTAAATCTACAGTACATTTGAATTGATTTTTTATATGGTATTAGGTAATGATTAAGGCTTATTCCTTATTACCCTTTATACTTGACCTAGCACGTTGAATGTAAAGATCACTTTCTGAACTTTATTCAGTTGGACTATTTTTAACACTTTTATTGGCATGTAATAAATATATCATACAATTCAATAGTTCAGCCACATCAAGAAGAGTTGTACAATCAACATTACAATCAGTTTTACAATATATTTTTTTGGTCTATTATTTGTCAGCTCCTCATATCCTCCCAACCCCCCTGCCATATCTCCACAAAACCAATAATCCAGTTACTGTCTCTGTAGATTTACCTATCCTGGATCTCATATACAGAAAAACATTTTAAAATAATAAAATAAAAATGGCAAAATTAAACAAAATATCTCTATGGAGAAGAAAGCTAAAAATATTAAAAACAAGAACAAATTAAAAATGGATCAAAAGGGAGATCAAGGGATACAGTGCAAATTTTAGTCTAACTGTATCTGCTGTCATCCACCTTCCAGTGCATTCTGCATAATAGCAAAGCTATTCACATCCCTGGTCCAGGGTCAGAAGGGATTCACCAGAGGCTTAATCCACATGTTTTTCCCCTTCACTTTTTAAAAAAACAGAATCAACTTTAAGATGGGCCCAACAGGAGATTAAATAATAAGTTTAACCAACTACATCTACCTTAGTCAACTTTACAAAATTCTCTGCCTGATGACAATGCTATTCACATTCCTCTACTATAGTACCCTACCAAATTACTTTAATTATTGTTCCTGGATAATGGATTTTGGAACCTAATTTTGTAATTCACCCAAATTTGTCCTTAAGATTGTTGTTACTATTCTAGTGTTAACATTTTACATTAGTAAATAGAGTGTCAAAAACCATTTTCCACAAATATCCTTTTTGTATTTTTATTCAAATCGCATCAATCAATTTGGCAAGAATTGAAATATTTGTATGGAATGGTGTATCTCTAAATATTATTTGAATGGGCTTAATGTAGAGTTTTAAAATATCTTCATTAAATCTATCCCTAGGAATTTGTTTTATATAGATACTGTTATATGTAAATTATGTTTTTGGTAATTTGTTCTTTAATCTAAAAATTATGAATCTTAATAACCCCATCTAATTCAGAATAAAAGTTTTCATTTAAAAAAAACTAGCACATTCCAAAAATTTACAATTTAACACTTCTTAAGAAATCCACATGTGCACACCAGCCTGGGGGATCATGAAGTGTCGAAGGGATCAGGTATCAGGCATCTGAGGCCCAGAACAAAATCATGCCACTGTGAATAGGGGGGAGTCGTGGAGTGGAGACCCAAAGCCTATCTGTAGACAATTGGACATCCCCTTACAGAAGGGTCACAAGGAAGAGACAAGCCAGTCAGGGTGCAGTATAGCACCAATGAAACATACAACTTCACTCTAGTTCTTTAATGCTTTCTCCTCCCCCCATCCCCACTATCATGACCTCAAGTCTACCTTACAAATCTGACTAGACCAGAACATGAACACTGCTACAGGTAAGAGCCCGCAGCACAGGGAATCCAGGACAGATAATCCCCTCCGGACCAACAATGAGAATAGAGATACCAGGAGGATAAGGGGAAGGTGGGGTGGGGAGGAGGGGGAATTGATCATAAGGATCAACATATAATCCCCTCCCAGGGGAATGAACAACAGTAAAAGTGAGTGAAGGGTGACAAAGGACCATATAAGATATGAAAATAATAATCTATAACTTATCAAGGGTTCAAAGGGAGGATGCAAGAGGGAGGGGGGAAAATGAGGAGCTGATATCAAGGGCTTAAGTAGAAAGAAAATGCTTTAAAAATGATGATCAACATATGTACAAATGTGCTTGACACATGGATGAATGTATGGATTGTGATAAGAGATGTACGAGTCCCCAATAAAAGTATTTAATAACAATAAAAAAAGAAATCCACATTTGAATAAAAGCACCACATAAGTTTCCATTACTGAATTTGGATGCATGCTATTTAGTTATCTGTGAATGACAGTTTTTGTTTTGTTTTATTGCCCCCCTCCCCCCTTAAAACTATTGTATCTTGATTTTCTTCTCTTACTACATTGGCTAGGTCCCAAATGCAGTGCTGCACAGAAGTGATATTGTTGAGTAGAAGTTGACACTCATGTTTTGTTCTCCATTCCTTGGGAAAAGCATTGTATGCCCATTATAATGAATTTGTGTGATGTTTTATGAGATTCAGAAAGATGTCTTTTGCTCCTACTTTGGTGTGAGTTCTTAGTGATGAATGCATTTTGAAGTTTATCAAATGCTTTTTTCTGCTTATGACATTTCTTTTTATTAATGTGGTGAATTACATTGGTTTTCTAATACTATTTATGGAATATACTCAGCTCATGAGCTGTACTACTTTCTCTACATCTAAATTTAATTTGCTAAACATTTTTAAAGAGAATTTCTTAAGAGTTAAAGATTGTCATTTTATGTTTTGGTATCTGGCTTTGTAAAAGAATTTGGGCATTTCCCTTCTTTTCACATTGATGATTTTCATTTTCCTGTCATATGATAATCTGTCAGTTTTGGTCTCAGTGCTATGGCTGTCCTCATAAAAAGTATCTGGAAATAGTTCTTCATTAAAAAATGTATGGAGTAGTTTGTGCATTCCTGATATTGATCCTTAATTAAAGATTTAGAAGTATTTACCATTGATATCATTAGGATTGCTTGTATAGATTTGAAATGACAATTTTAGTTTATCTAGAACTACTCAATTTTATATCTTCTCATGTAAGGTGTGTTAAGTTGGTTCTTTATTGAAATGTGAACGTTGTTCTTAATATTTTAAATGTATTTGCACAATGGCATTGATAATAACATCTTATTGTTTATTTATTATTGAGTGTGTAGTTATGTTTTGGGTTTTTTGGTTGTTGCTGGTTTTGGTCATTGGCTCCTTCTCTTCCTCCTCTGTTCCCAGGTGATTTGTTAATGATCAATTCTATCAGTGTTTCAAAGCCGTCATTGTTTTGTTTTGTTTACATTCTAGTTTTTTATTCTTAGTTCCTTTATCTTTTTGTTAGGTTTAATCCTTTTATTCTTTGTCCACTTCTTCAGAAGGAAACTTGGATGCTTTTTAATATGGTGCTTTCATTCGCTTGTGGACTATTTAGGAATGTGTTATTAAATTCCAAACTTTTGGAATGTTCTAGTTTTTCTTTTTTAATGATTTTTTAAATTCTGAATTAGATGGGGTGGGTTACCTTACAGACTGTCCATTTTGCATTCCACAATTTAAACCACTGATCAGTAACCCATTTCCATGTTCCACTCCCCCTTCTCCTGATTCTCTTCTCCCTGTTAGGGATCACCACCCTGCCTTTCACCCAGCCAATTACCGTTAACCTAGTCTCTTGCTGCATTTCCCACCCCTCTATTCCCTCCCTTGGGAGCCTTGAAAGTTTGTTCCTTTTGTGTGAAAGTTTTTGTCTTGATTTTTATCTGTGCAGTGGTGGTCTCATGCAATGTCTGACCATTTGGGGTTGACTAACTTCCCTCACATGGTGTTCACCAGGTCCATCCATCTCATGTGGTGTTTTGTGGTTTAAAATATTTTTTTCAGTGATGCATAGTATTTCATTGTGTGTATGTACCAAAGTTTCTCTATCCATTCTTTTACTGTTGGGCATTTGGGCTGTTTCCGACTTCCTTCTGTGGGCTGTGCTGTGAGGAACATGAGAGTGCCCGTTATCTGTTCATGTTACTGCTCTTACTTCTTTAATAATACCTCAGCAGAGGTATTGTTGGACTGAATGCAATTTCTGTTCTTAGTAGTTTGAAGTAGCACCATATTGCTTTCCACAAGGGATGTACATATTTATAGACCCACATGTTTGTTATTATTGTTTGTTTGTTTTTAGTTGGACTGTTGTTGTTTGTGTAAGAAGGTATTTTATCATTGTTTTGTTTTCTAGTTAGTTATTTTCTTTTGTAGTTTAATTCCTATCTTGTCAGAGAAACGTATTCTAAGAAAGCTAGTTAGTCTGTTTAAAATTAGTGTATGCTTGCTTAGGCCTCAAAAAGAACATGGGTACATTTCTACATATGTCAAGTAGATCAAGTTTATTAATTTTATTTTTCGAACTATGAATGTCTTTGCTGATTTTTTCTGATTATCTCATCAGTTATTGAGTGGCATGTGGTGAAGGCTCTATGATTCCAAACCTGTTTTTTCCCTTAAATTTTACCAATGTTTGCTTTGTGAAACTGTTATTGGGAACATACATACTTAGATTTTTTTCCCCTAGTAGACTGACAAATTGAGCATTACATAATGCCCTCTTGATACTTTGAAATGCATTTTGCAGTCAGATCTACTTGCTTTGATGTTATAATTGCTATCGTTGCTTTACTTAGGTTTGTATTTGTGTATTTGTGTGTGTTTTTTTTTTCAATCCTTATACTTTTCACCTCTCTGTGTTCTTATATTTATGGTTTATCATTTCTAAGAAGCATACAATTAGTCGGCTTTTGTACCAAGCATTATCTTTTACTTTAAATAATGCATACATTTGCATATAATGCCATTACGCTCAAATTTGGTTTCAGATCACACTCATTGCTATTTGTTTTCAGTTTATCCCACCTGTTTAATATTCTCATTTGAAATCCTCATTATTTTAATGGTATCAACAAATATTTATTAAATCTTCGTTATGTTCATATAATGAGCCCTGATAGCACAGAGGTTAAGCACGAGATTGCTAACAAGTTGTTCAAACCTACTATCTAGCCCATGGAAAAAAGATATGTAGTCTGTAAAGCTGTACAGCCTAAGAAACTCTCTGAGGCAATTCTGTCCTTTACTACAGGATCACTACGAGTTGGAATCAACTTCACAGCAATGAGGCCTTCTATTGTGCTTAATTTGTGATTGACCAAAAGATACATTGTACTTACGAAGTAAAACTTTTATTCACAAACTTGGATGTGAAAGACACTTGATTTTTTTTTTTCAAAAATCAAATTTAATTCAATTGCATCGCCTTTTACCCAGACTGATAAATTGTCATTGCATCTCTGTACCTATTCTCACCACAGCAGAGGTTGTCAGAAGCGCTAAAAAGGACAACCTTCTGGAATGGCTCACTGATTTCTTGTCCTTATTGATATGGCTGACATGTCTGTGTTAATCTGGGTTGACTATAGAAAAAAATCCAGAAACACTCATATGTGTGTAAGAGAGAGCTTTATATCAAAGAATAATTTTATATTAAATAAATATCCAGATCAAGTCCTTAAGTCTGATATTAGCCCATAAGTCTGATACTAGTCCATAGCTCACTCATTAGACTCACGCAGTCACATGCAATGCTGCAGAATGCAGGAAGAGCACAGGCCGGTGGGTGCAAAGTCTTGTGGATCCAATGGTGGTGGGCCCTTTTCCAGGACTCTGGTTTCCATCAGTGTGGCTCCACGTGGCTCATCAGTAGGAAGGTGAAGCAGAGAGAGTGTGATCTCTCCTCCAGGGAGGGAGAGAGGAAGTTCCCAGAAACCTCATGAGAAGGCTATACCCACAAGCATCATCAGGCTCTGTCCTGTTTCATAGGATAGACTTCACCCCTTCACTCTATTTATCAAGTTGATATGAGATTATGTAACTACTGCAATGCCCCAGTGTGCAATGATTCCCTGAAGGTATGTTTAGGTATAGTTTAAGATTTGAGTCCCCTGAGAAGGTCCAAATTGCCATTTGACCTGGTGTGAGAAGAGAGTGCTGAATTAAGAGAGATGGAAGCACTCCTTCAAAAGTATAGACTTTGATGGGCGATATGTCTAGAAAAAAAATCGCTTAATGTTTTTGTATTTCTGTGTAATAAATGTTTCTATGATATGGTAGTGATACTCTTGACATATTCTCTCTCTCTCCTTTTAATCATTTCATTGGGAACTCTTAACAGATAAAACATTCCATAGTTCAATCACCTCAAGCAGTATTATATAATTGCTACCACTGTCAGTTTCAAAATATTTTCTTTCTTTTTGAACTCCTTGATATCAGCCCCCCTTTATCTCCTCCCTTCTCCACCCTAACATCCAGGAACCCTTATTATTGTATATTATTATTATTGGTTTTGGCCATATCTTAAATCATCCAATATGTCCATTCAGCTATAATTCTGTTATATGTTCCCCTTATGTGGGTTTATGTAGTCATCATTACTATCACTTACTCCTTACTCCCCTTCTCCCTACTCTTCCCGCACCCTCAGGGAATCATTACTCCTTTTGCTGTTTCTGAAGGGTTATCTATCCAGGCTTTTATGCATCGAATAATCTTAATTAAACAAATGAGCCTACTCAGGCCTACCAAGATTAATGAGGTAAAAACAAAGACCCTAATGGTAAGGGGAGGGAATATTAAAGAACTAGTGGATAGTTATGTATTTCGTCAGTGCTATACTACACCGTAGAATATCATCCTTTCCATGTGGCCCTTTTGCAAGGGACTGTCCAGTTATGTTACGGGTGGGTTTGAGGGGTCTCCATTTTTTACATTTTCGCTTATATTTACTTTGCCACGCTTCCAATCCAAGATTTGGGTCTTGGTCATAGGGCATGTATTTTGAATATGCAGGTAAATCCTTATGAATGTAAATATTTTATATGTCAAAGTCTCTGGGAAGCTCAAAGCCTTAAGTGCTTGACTACAAACCAAAGGACTGGCATTTAGAACCCACACAAAGGTGTCTCAGCAGAAAGGCGTGGGATCTTCTGAAAGGCTATCACTCTGGAAGCCCTGCAGAGTTCCTGTACTCTGCTTAAGGGGTCATCAGGAGCTGAAATCAGCTGTATGGCAACTAACAACATCAGCTCCTCTTTTACTAAAATAATGTTTGACTGGATACAGGGATGTCTAGAAAGAAATTTGAAACGACTGAAATCCTAAGAATCAACTATTTTTTGAAAAACTTTTAAAATGTGTGTTGTTTCAGCTTGTAAAATCCCATTTCAATATAGCTATGTAGTAAGATGTACTATTATATTTGATGTTTTTGCTTAGGGAATATTTGTTAAGGAACAGTTCATTTATATCACAATTTAAACTTACATACAGCATAGCTATTAAGTCTATTTTAAATGGAAATGTTTTGGGATATGTTTGAAAGCTGATAATTAGAGCGATAGTAAGTGTTGGTCATACCTGCTAATTAGAGGCATAGTGTTGATTTTGTTATTGTGTTCTAGTTTTTTAATTGTACTCAACCTGATTCAACTCATCTTTAACTTGTTAATATAATTTCTGTATAAAATGTTAAAATACAGAATCATTCAATGTAACACTTTAAAATCATATTTTCTGTAATTTCATACTTAAATCTGTAAGAAATGTCTATAAGGTTGCCGGAAATTAGTTCTTCCCCACTTTCTAAATAAAAACTTTTGTGCCATCAAATTGATTTGGACTCTGGCCCTGTGGATTTCCAAAGCTGTAACTCTTGCTGGCCGTGGAAAGCCTCGTCTTTCTCCTCTGGAGTGGCGGTGGTTTCTAACTGGTTGCCTTGTGGTTAGCAGCCCAACACATAACTACTACACTACCAACCAAGGTTCATAATTCTACCACGCTCTAGATTACTCACGGGACACATCCATCATTGGAAGACATGCCAAGCATTCTACTTACCCATTTGTTAAATGATATTTGGAATCGCTATTCAAATTTTAAGTATTTATTGTAATATTATAAATGAAGTCCATAATTATCTTTGAGTGCATAATTTTACTTTCTTGTGATTTACTTGTATTTTGACTAACAGCTTTTATGCATTAGGTTAGGTATGTAGGTTTTTCCTAGGATTAATGCATCTTTTCATGACTTTGCTATTTTTGTAACATTATAGTTCATGTAATCTTTTAACTCCTCAATGTATAGTCTAACAACAATGTACTCACCTTTCAATATGAAAACAATGTGTTGATATTTTGATTACTTAAAAATGTTGTTAATATTTATGCAGAGTAAATATTTTAAAATTATATCTTGCAAGCTTTTTGGGAAAATATTCTGCACGGTGTATACATTTGTTAATAAGTAAGAGTGTAAAATAACTGTTCCCTATAAATTTCATTATATCTAACTGCATACTAAGAATTGAATTTATTACTGTTAGTTTATTAATTCATTTTATTTACCTTCTCTTGTTCCCTGCAGCCTCTAATAATTGCGTTAAATGAAATTTTTTTAACATAAGTTATCATTTGAATTTTTACTAATTTGTAGATCTATCTGTCTTTTGCATTGCATTGTGAATTAGTAGGATTTTTCTATATCTTAAAATAAAAATGCTAAACTACCACCTGTATTGTAAAACAAAAATTAGATTTTCCTTGCTAGATATAAAGGCTTTTAAAATGAATTTTTGACATTACTCTAACATTTTTTTTCCAGATAAAGGCTTATGTTCATATAATCCAGGTAAATTTTAGCATGTGTAGTGTTTAATGCATGTATGCATATGCACAGTTTAATTGGTTTTGTTGTTTTGTGCTTTGTCTGCTATTGTGCACATGTTAAATTTCTGAACAAATTATCAGTAACATATATTTTCTGCCTATAAAATTTCCAGATTTTCCATGTTGACATCTTTATTATTTTAGAATTGAAAATCATGTGTTTCCATATAGTGATTTATTCTCTCAATGTGTCTAATATTGTCTCTTTGGTACTATTCTGTCAGTAAAGTTTGTTTAGTATGTATTATGTTATTATATTTGCTGTTTTGGAAAAATTGTATTTACTTGGAAATAATTTACAATGTAGTTGATTTATAGAGGGTTTGTTCGTGTTGAACAGCCTAAGCATGTGAAATTAGAACATAATTCAATCTAAACTGTTTGCTGTAGTTTCCATTAATCTTAGCAATTTTATGCTATTACCCAAGGAAAATTATATAACTCTTATATAGTATGACTTTTCATTTTACATATGCACAGAGAATATAGTATGATATTTTAAATTAATGTTCAATTTTGTTAGTCACTGGGATGTCCCTTGATTTTAACAATTTTCATTTGAAAATGTGCTTTAGCAAATTTTAAAACTATTTGTTATAACTTGCCCTCTTAAAAATATTAAGAAGTAATTATGAAAAGCCTCAGAAGTACACTCTTACGTTTTAAAATCCTCTGGGGTAGACTACCAATTCAGCTGATATGGAAGAAAAGAGACGATGTTTATTCTCTTATCTCAAGCATAAAAATTGTAAGAAAAGATAGATGAAGAAATTGTTTGCTAGAGACTGGATATCAGGCAGTTTAAGGACAGTAAGTCCCGAGAAGGTAAACAAATGATTTCATCCTTCCCTGAATTATAGAGATAAAGCTGGAGTTTGAGAGACCAAAAAGGCTAGAGTCCACAGAACAGGTTCTGGGAAGGAGAGAATTGCATAGAGAAAGAACTCCAAACTGTCTCTTGATTTTCAGACTCTACTCGAGGCCTGGCAAAGAACCACTGAAAAGGATTAGAGGCAGTAGTGCCTGAAATATTGGTTGTTCTTTTAAGGAAGACTGGAAAATTTTAAATCCAGGTATCATTGTGTTGAATAAACAAAAATACCTGACCTCATTAGGAATAATTAGCTCTACACTGAGAATTATAGCACAAAAATTAAGTATGCATACTAAAAACAGGGATTGAAGGATCCTTATGTTTTTAAGTAACAGAACAACATTTAAGACTATAGGAATAGAAAACTGAAAATCACAATGGCTGGCACCATATAAAATTTAACTAGATTTTATATGGATAGGAAAACAACAAAAACATGAAAAGGAGGTAATTCAATAAAATCCAAGCTATAAAGGGTACAGATGCTCAATTAGTAAGTATATTGCAATAATTATAATAAGTGTGTTTTATGTGTCCAAACCATTAAGTACAGATCTGGCAGATATAAAGGACCTACATAGAACATCTATATATATTAACCACAATATCTGAAATATAAATATTGAAGGAAATTATTGACAGAATAAACATTTCAGAGATAAATATTAGTGAACTTGAAGATATAACATAGAAATTATCCAAAATGAACCACAACTAAGAGAATATATTTTCAAATTAAAGATTATCTATCAACTGTGAGACAATCTCAATCGCTCTATTCCCCAGATATCTGAAGTTCTTGCGGAAGAGAAGAGGGGAAGGAACAGAATTATTTGTAAACAACCCAATTAAGTGTAAACAACCCATTCAGTGATTATATCAAATTTAAATAGTCCACATACCCCAGTCAAAAAGGAGAGATTATCAGATTGGATACATTGAAGCCCAGACATAGAAGATATGACAGGATCCAAATCTGCCTAAAAGAAACCCACTTTAAATATAAAAACCCATAATCGATTTAAAATCAACAAGTGAAAAAAGATGTACCATACTAGCACTAATCAAAAGAAAGCTGGAAAGGTGATACTAATATCAAACAAGGTAGGATTCAGAGCAAAGACTATTATGAACTATAAAGGAAGTTATTTCGCAATATCAAAGGAGTAAATTAATCAAAAGCACATAGAAATCCTAAACATTTCAAAGGTAAACCTAACCCATGGCTATGGAATCAATTGTGATTCAGAGTGACCCCAAGTATTAAACAAATGCTTCACAGTGATTTTTTTCGTCTGTAATCTTTGCAGTTTAAAGGCTCAAACATAGCAATTGTGAGGGCCGCATAGGACCAGGGAATGCTTTGTTCTATTGTACACAGAGATTCGTTCGCTGTGTGTTGCAAATGGCATATGTTATAACTACAATAACAATAATAGAGCTTCAAATTACATAAAGAAAAATTATAGAGAGATCATCTGACAAAAACAAAGCTACGATCCAATTATGTGCAGTTCATATCTCATAACACTGCTCTCTATAAAAGAGCAAAATACAAATCATTTGGAAGTGAAGTATACCAAAGGGTAAGCCAAACGTGTGCTTGTGCAAAAAGTCTCCAACAGAAAGCTGTCATACTCTGCTAACATTAGAGAAAATATGCTTTAAGACAAGTACAGTACTCCTACAAAAAGGTATATTTTACAGTAACAAAATTCTAATTTTGTTCAGAAGATGTAGCAATTATACACGTAAACATACTTAACAATGAAGCCTCAAAATATAGGAAGCAAATGTGAAAAAATTGGAGAAATGTACATCTTAATGCTACACAATACTGAGTAACTCACTTTCACTAGTAATTACTCTCAACTAAACAAAAAGCTGAAAAAAATTTATCTTTTGATATGAATTACAACTTTATGAAAAAATAAAAAAAGCAAAATCCTCACAATTGGACAATAGGTAGCATCATGATAAATGGAAAAAAAGATTGAAATTGTCAAGGATTTCATCTTGCTCTGGTCCACAATCCATGCTCATGGACGCTTCAGTCCAGAACTTAAACACTGCATTGTATTGGATATATTTGGTGCACAAGATCTATTTAAAATATTGAAGAGCAAGGATGTCACTTTGTCGACTAATGTGCACCTGATCTATACACCAGGGTATTTTGAATTGCTTCATCTGCATCTGAAAGTTGGACATAGAATGAGGAAGACTGAAGAAGAATCCATGCTTTTAAATTATAGAGCTGGCGAATTATATTGAAAGTATCATGGACTGCCAAAAGATAAACAAATCTGTCTTGAAAGAAATAAAACCAGAATACTCCTTAGGATTGTGAATGGCAAGACTTGGTGTCACGTATTTTGGACATGTTACCAGGAGAGGCCAGTTCCTGGAGAAGGACAGCATGCTAGGTAAAGCTGAAGGGCAGCAAAAAGGAAGAAGTCATGCAAGCAGATGGAATGACACAGTGGCTGCCGTATGGGCTCAAGCTAACAATTGTGAGGCTGACTTAGAATGGGACAGTGTTGTATTCCCATACACTTAGATGTATCACGTCTATAGGGAGGCCAAGTCAGAACCTAGCAACAGGGTACAGAACAAGGATGTAGACTTACACAACACTAGCAACTGATTTGACTTAAATGACTGCAATTGGTTTTCCACCCAGCACTAGGAGAATGCAGTTTTTTTCCCCAAGCGTATGAGGGGGTACCCCCCACCTTCCACCTCCCAAAAAATGGAAAAAAGTTCCGCTGGGTGGAGCTTTCGTAGCACACATTTTTTCCAGCTAGGTGAGCACTGAGCAACTTGTTCTGAGTTAGTGCTTCTAGTGACATCGCCTGAGAATTTTTTCACTGTGAATTTTTTCATAAAAGCCATTTTTCGCTTGAACTTTGTTTCTTTGATGGCCGATTTAAGAGAACAGCGTGTGGCTGTGAATTTTTTTTTCCTGCTCAGAAAAAATGCCACAGAAACTGTTGTGATGTTGAACACAGCTTACAAAGACTATTAGCTCTATAGGAAAAACTCAAGTGTACCAGTGGTTATCTCGTTTCAAAAAGGTAAAATGTTGATTGATGACAAACCTTGTTCTGGACGCCCGTCTACTTCCTGAATGGATGGAAATGTCTACTTCTAGTGCTTTTGGACTTCATTCCACCAGGTCAGACTGTTAATCAAGCTTTCTATTTAGAGGTTCTGATAAGATTGTATAACAGTATGTGACACCAAAGGCCTGATTCGTGGTGGAGGGGGGACTGGTTTTCCCACCACGACAATGCACTTGCTCATGCAGACAACTCAGTGCACCAGTTTTTGGTAAAAAACAGCATTCCTCTCTTGCTCCATGCACCTTACTCACCTGACCTTGCTCCACGCAACTTCATTTCTTCCCCGAATGAAAAGGCCATGAAAGGACAGTGATTTGATGACACAGAAGAGGTGAAGCAAAAAACAAGGGAGGTGTTGTTAGCCATCCAGACAGATGAGCTTAAAAAATGTTTCCAAGAATGTAATTGTGGATTTGACACATATTAAGTATAAAGGAGAGCAAAAAACTTAAATACATAGCTCTGAATAAGAAAAATTCCAGGTTTTTTTTTTTGCTGGGGGTACACCCTTGTATGTAGAAACAAGGAAAAAATTTGTCAGATATTCTCCAAGATAAGACCATATGGCACACTAACCAAAGTAAATTTAAAAGAATTAAACAAGGAGTTCTCATCACAATAGAACTGAATTAGAGATCAAAACAGAACAAAATGTGAAAATATATATATATATTTGGAAGTTGTAGGACAACCATCTGAATCAGTGGTTCTCAACCTTCCTAATGCTGCAACCCTTTAATATAGTTCCTCATGTTGAGGTGACACCCCCCAAACCATAAAATTATTTTCATTGCTATTTCATCACTGTAATTTTGCTACTGTTATGAATCGAGCGACCCCTGCTAAAGGGTTGTTCGAGCCCCAAAGGGGTCTCGACCCACAGTTTGAGAACCGCTTATCTAAATGATCCATGGGTAAAGAAGATACCATATAGAAAATAAAAAAAATAAAAAATCAACTGAA